AAAAAAGAAATTCACTTCACCTATAAAAACACACATACACTAAAAATGAAGGGATGGGAAAAAATATTCTATGTAAATGGAAACCAAAAGTGTGTAGGAGTGGCTATACTTATATCAGACAAAACATAATTTAAGTAAAATACATAAAAAGAAAAAAGAAGGTATTAAAATGAAGACAAAGGGATCATTTCACCAAGAGAATATTACAACTACAAACACACATGCACCCAACACAAGAGTCCCCAGATATATAAAGCAAAACATTACTGGAGCTAAAGAGAGAGACAGGCCCCAATACAATAAAAGTTGGAAATTTCCTATTTTTAGCACAGGACAGATAATCCAGATAGAAAATCAACAAAGAAACACTGGACTTAATCTACAGTATAGACCATATGGACCCAACAGACATTTACAGAATATTTCATGCAACAACTGCAGAATATACATTTTTGTTCAGCATATGGAACATTCTCCAAGACGGACCATATGTAAGGCCATAAAACAAGTATCAACAAATTTTTAAAAGTCCACATTATATCAAGTATCTTCTCAGACAACAATAAAATAAAACTAAAAGTCAATAAGAGAAACTTTGAACACTAATAATACATGAAAATTAAATAACATGCTCCTGAACAATCACTGGGTCAATGAAGAAATTAAAAAGAAAATTATATTAAACTTAAGACATGGAACTATAAAGATTCTTGGAGAGACTGCAGGGGAAACCCTTAAAAGAAATTGGCCTGGGAGAATATTTTATGAGGAAGACCCACCCCACTCCACCCCACCCCCCAGGCAATTGAAGCAACACCAAAAATACATCACTGGGATGGGATCAAACTAAAAAGCTTCTACACAGCCAAGAACACACAGTAAGTAAAGAAAGCAGACAGCCCTCAGAATGGGAGCGATTATTTGCAGTTATGTTTCTGACAAAGGTTTGATAACCAGAATCCACAGAGAACTCAAACTTATTAATAAGAAAAGAACAAGTAATCAATCCCAT